CCAACGCGGCACCCGCCTGGCATTGAAAGTCACGCATCCATGGGCAAACCAATGGTGCAAGCGCAGGTTTGGATGCAGTCGCGATCTGAAGACGCGCCTCGGGTGAGTTCTACTCATCGATGCCAGCACATGGCGTCGTCGTTGTCTTGCCACCCGCAGACTCTGATACCATGAGGCAGCTGGAATCACTGTATAGGTTGACAAGCGTGGCCATCGAATCCGAAGGCGCGGATGACGGAGGGGCCGAAGTCCTCGTCCGCAATTGGAGCCCAACCGTTGTCGCTCATCATGAAGAGAAAGTACCTGCCATCTGCAAACGCTGACCAACGAGGCGCCGTGGCGAATGGTGCTTGGCCGTGGACAGCATCGAAGGGGCCCCCATTGAAGCAGACTGCATTCTGGTTGGCAGGGATGCCGGCAGTATTAGGAAGATTGGGCACCCAAGGTGCCCGAACAGGGCCCGCGCTGGCCAGTCTCGTCGCTCTCGCGCGATCCGCTGCAAGCGTTGCCACCGGCATTGGGTCGCAACTTGCGCCGCCAAACCCTCCGCGGGCGGTAGCCCAGGAGGATGCCTTGATCTCGTGATTGGCACATGCGGTGAGCGTGCGAAAGACACGACAGCACGCGCGCTGAAGCGCCTCGGCGGTCTTGCCGACATGCCCCGCAGTGTCAGATGCACGAGGCGCCGCTGGCTGATCCGCGGGCAACCTGGCGTCCGTCTGCGCGGAGAAGTTGCACGCCGTGAGCCCGTGCTCACAGGCAAACAGCGGGCACGGGCCGAGGTCGCGGCGCATCGACGCCATGGTCTCGTCGAGGTCCACGTCGGACAAACCACTCAAGAAGGTAGAACCCACGGCCTCCCAAGACATTCGCAACATTTTCCACAGTCCACGGGCCACTCGAGCACATCTCTCTTTTGGTGGACACTTGGGCGCCTCGTCAGCGACACCGATGTCTGGCGAATTCGCCCAGAGAGAGTCGGGGCATTGACGCGCCGTGCTTATAACCCAAGGGCCCTTCATGTAAAGGCCCATGATACTTACCCAGACAAACAAGAATGCCATCCATGGAATGGCTGCGGTAAGGGTTGGAGTCGGCTACGCAACCCCAGCGAGCGTCTCGACAACCTGAAATGTAGCCTGAGATGTCGTAGTGATGGGCCCTTGCTGGTTCGAACGTAGCCCGCCGAGGCCCTGGGCGGCGGCGGTGTCCACGATGATCCCCCCGCCCTCGGTCGCCATGAAGACGCCTGCCTCCTCGGTGCTGCAGATGTCTCAAAGCCCTTGCCCGCATCGGCGGACCGCGTCGCTCGCGGTGACCAGCGCCAGCCTTGAGCCGGTGGCTGACGAATCGTTCATGATCACAAAGCCCGCACCCGGCGTCTTGGTCTCTGGGCACTCGCGAGACAGGCGCCCCTTCTTTCGGCATTTACTGCAGCAGGTGACCTTGATGAGCTGCTCTATACTAAGGCGGTCTGGAAGAGGACGAGTCGGCTGACCACCCCCGAACGACCTCGAGACGCGACGATCTGCTGTCGGAGCTCCTGACCGCTTCTCTGGACGCTACGACGTCGATGTGGCGGGCGGAAGAGGATAGAAGCGCCTGTCGACCTTTGCCTGCCTCTACTGGTCCTTGTGATCCTTCCAGGTCGTCTTCCTCTCGCCAGCAATTTCGAAAAGAACTGTCGGGGCCTCCTCCTCGCCGATGTCTGCGGCATCGATGCTCGTCGGGATCTCGTTCTCCATCTCCGTGCCCAGGGGAGCCCCCGACGACTCGTCGTTGTCAAGGAACGCACGTCGGCTCTCCTCGGTCGCCTCCACGACATAGCCCTTGGGCGCTCGGCCGGCGGAGGAGGGGGGCTCCGTTTTGGAAAGGCCGAGCTCGCGGATCGCATGCTGGAGGTCTTTGTATTTGCCCGATCCTCTCGTCAAGACACGCAACATCTGTTTGCCACTATCGTCCAACCCCACGCCTTCCTCCATGAAGAGATGCATCCACTTATCGGGAAGAGGCAATCACTGGGCACGCAACTGATCAAACTGCATCTCCATTCTACCAGCGTGCATTGAGAGCGTATCTCCCTGCCTACGTTGGTACCCGAAGAGACACCCTCTAGCGGTTCGGCGGTCCTCATCGCCGATGCGATTCCCACTCATGGTGTCCAAGCGCTTCAGAATGATATCTGGACCGTCGCTGCTGAGAAGACCTAAATCACTGATGTCGCCAATTTTCTTCTGAGGGGCAATGTCCAGCGATCGAAGAAGCCGATCTGCCCGCTTAGCTATCGGAGCATCGGTCGTGGAAAGCCATATATTGATCTTCCGTCTCCATATGCGGAAGTCTCCCCAGCCAATACACACTGCTGGGTCACCATAGTCTGGTTTGGACCACGAAAATCGATCCCACGAAGATGACCAACCGTTCGCAGACCACCAATTCGGCGAAGAAGACTGCCGCTGGTCATCTGCTTTGTCTGGGTTATGGCTCTCCCGGTCCTCGGAGCGCTGCCACCAAGACCCGCCGTCAGCTCCCCACGAACTGGTAGGACCCCTCGGTCTCGCTGGCTGCTCGTCGGACTTCTGCCGACCCCATGGGTCGGATCCTGTGTCTCCCGCGGGTCGCGCGCTGGTCGGTCCGCACCCTCTGCCTTATCCTCGAAAAGGTTCGAGGGAACTTCTTGCTGGCGCGCTGCGAGGAAGAAAAGGTCTCTCGTCTCATCCTTCAGCTCCTGGAACTCGCGACGAGACTGTTCCGCTAGAATCTCGATGATCTCCACCTTCAGCTTTTCCGTGAAACTGCTGTACGGGGGACTTCTGTCCCCTGCCTCCGCACTTGCTCCAACTGGCCTCAATCTCTGTCCGTTACCTCGAGAGCTGCCTGGGCTGCTGTGCGACATCGGGCGGCGCCAGCAGCTGGGCCCGCGGAAATCCACGGGCTCCGCTACCACTGACACGCCATCATCGGCAAACTGTCGAACGGATGGTGGTCCTTTTGGCCGAAGGAGCTCGCATGCGTGAAGCAAGGGGTGCCTATTGAGCCAAACGGCGAAACGGAACGATATATAAGTATAAAGGAACCAGACTCTCCAAGAGTCCTCTCAAGAATAAAATTCAAGCTCAGGCTGGAGACTTCCTCATGTCGTTGTAAGCGCCGACCGTCGTTTTCGACGAAGTCGATCATCGTAGTCGTCGCTGGATGGAGGGGGAGGAAGAGGGAGAGAAGGAGGAGGAGGCGGAGGAGGAGGAGGAGGAGGAGGAGGGCGAGGAGGAAGGAGAAAGGGACGGTTGCAAGAGGGGGCGGAGAGGAGGAGGACAAGGAGGATGGCGAGGAGGGAGCAGGGAAGGACACGATGAACGAGGAGGAGGAGGCGGAGGAAGTGGAGGAGGAGGAGGAAGCAGGAGAAAGGTTTTGAGCACGACGGCTGCGGTACATGTTTAAATCACGCTGAAAGTCGCACAAGTCCCATGAGTGCAATGAACATGAAGGCCGTGCCGTACAGCACCGCGGTGAAATAGGCCAGAACCCAGATGAACAAAGCGACGTGCGAGGCTCCACGAATAAAGAGTATGCCTACCGAAAACATTCCTGGTGGCAAAAAGAAACGCCAACAACGATGGCACTGGTCGAATGCACAATCCCATGAACTGGCGAACGGCTTGATTTTCGCGGCAGCCACAATGATACTACTATATATTCGCCAAGAAGTTCCGAGCGGGAAAACATGCCAACGACGCACTGCAACGTCATAGCAGAAGCACACAACCCAGAACACCGACACCGATGATGAACCTGCCTGCAAGGGACGCGCCAGTGCGGAGCATAGCTCAGACGACATTCAATGAACATGCAAAAAACAACTGGCCGTCACCTGGATCAGGGGGCAGATGAACGGGGACCCATACAGCAGCCGCACGGTCCTGGTCATCATCAGCATCAGCAGCATCATCATCAGCATCATCAGCATCAACACCACCACCATCATCCTCATCATCATCATCATCATCATCATCATCATCATCATCATCATCAATATCATCTTCGAGAGGGCGAACCCGATCGCTGGACTCCGAGCCAGCAGCTACCTCCATTGCCATTCATGTTCATTCACAAGGATCCTCCCTGTCGCACCCCGCGGCTTGCCGAAAGGGCGGACTGGGCGTTTCGCCTGAGACTTCCTCACCAGCTATGCCCCAATGTGGCAACAGTTTCACACATGGAGGGCGGGTGTGTTTAAAAATGTGGCTCTCGCTTCAGCGCCGCGCACATTCGTTGTAAATAGTTGCAAACGGTTCATGGATTGAGGGCGGGCGGTTTTCAAAATGTGGCTCTCGCCTTAGTGCCGCTCGCGTTCGTTTCAAGCATTTGCGAGGAAGTCACTGATTGAGGGCGGTTCGTCTTCAAAATGTGACTCTCGCCTTAGCGCTGCGCACACTCGTCTTAATTAGTTGCAAGAGCATCACGAATTGAGGGCTGCTCGTTTTCAAAATGTGGCTCTCGTCGTAGCGCCGCGCACACTCGCTTTAGACATTCTCAAGAGCTTCACGTATTCCACATGATCAACGTACCAGAAAAATGTGTTGGAAGGATTGAAAAGTGAGTGGGTGCAACAGTTACGCGGATTCGCGGTGTGAAGTCCCATCGGTGGCGTTCTGGCACGATTCAGGATCGCCCAGACGCAACAGTCAGGTTGATCCGTGGCGGTAGAGTCCAGGGAATGGTGTTTCGGTATCCTTCAAGGTCCGCAAACGGTTGTCTCCCAATGAGACAGATCCCTGTGGAAATGAACCCTTATAGGCGCATATGAAGGAACTTGGAGGGAGGGTTTATTCCAACATCGTTGATGCGTCTTGGGTTTACACTGGTCATCCTCCTCCTCCTCCTCCTCCTCCGCCATCCCTCGTCCTCCCACTCCCCCCTGCGCCCTCCGCGTTCGTGCGTGCGTCACAAGTCCCAGCTCGTCTCGCAAGGGGGCCCGTTGTGCCAGGAGCTGCCCGGTGCGCCTCAGCGGGGTGGCCGAAGCGAAATGGTCGATCCCAGTGCACAGCGTTTGCAGCTCCTTGAAGGCCGCTTTGCCTGCCGACGGAAAGAAGCGGGTGGCGCAAGGGCGAACAAACAAAAAACAATTACTTCGACGGTCGGACCCCGCACGAGAATCTATTTAGCTTGCCCCTCGCGGTTCTCCGGCTTCGCCTTGGCGGAAGCCCTCCTCCCGCCCTCTGGTGCGCCTCCTCCTCCTCCTCCTGTTCCTCCTCCTCCTCCTCCTTCTCCTCTTCCTCGTCATCCTCGCCATCCGTTTCCTCCTCCTTGTCGTCCTCCCCCACCTCCTCCTCCTCCTCTTCCTCCCCTTCCTCCTCCTCGTCCTCCTCGTCCTCCTCTTCCTTCTCCTCCTCTTCCTCCTCTATTCCTTTCCTTGCAAATAACATTTCCCTGTCGCACCCCGAGGCCAATTTTTAGGGCGGGCCAGTCGTTTCGCCTGAGAGTTCATCACCACATATGACTCTGAAGCTTGAAAAGTGACAACAGCTTCACAGATGGAGAGCGGGTCGTTTTCAAAATGTGGCTCTCGCCTTAGCGCCGCGCGCTTTCGCTATACAAATTTGCAAGAGCTTCACGGATTGAGGGCGGGTCGTTTTCAAAATGTGGCTCTCGCCGTAGCGCCGCGCACTCTAGTTTTTTTTTAACGTAAGAATTTCACGGGCTGCGGGCGGTCCATATGCAAAATGTGGCTCTCGCCTTAGCGCCGCACACATTCGGTTTAATACTTCGCACGGGTTTCACGGGCTCCCATGAACAACGTACCATACATTGTGTTTCGAAAGGATTCCGGATTATGCGGGCGCAACAGGTATGTTGATTCGCACGAGTCCGGATCGCCAAGACGCAACAGTCAGGTTGACCCGTTGCGTTGAAATCCCGAGAACAATGATTTGGCATTCTGCAGGATCTTCAAACGGTTGCCTTCTAACGAGGCAGTTCCCTCAATGGACATGAACCGTTGCAACGGGCCTGTGGAGAGCGAGCTTATAGGGCGGGTTGATTCCAACATCAATAATGACCCTTGGGTTTACACTGGTCCTCCTCCTCCTCCTCCCCCTTCTCCCCCTCCTTCTCCCCCTCCTTCTCCTCCTCCTTCTCCTCCTCCTCCTCCTCCTCCTCTTCGTCCTCCTCCTCATCCTCTTCGGTAGCGGTACGGTAGCGGTATCGGTACGTTTCGGTTTCCCCAGTAGGGCCTCGCCTTCGAGGGTCGAAGTCCCCCCCACCTCTTCATTGGATCCACCCCCTATTCTCCATTCCCCGAACAACTTGTGCTCATGGCTGTTCGATTCGATTCAGGCGCGACGAGGCCAACGCCTCCGACTGCAAGTGGCCCTTTGACCCTCCCTCCCGCCCTTCCTGTCCACCCCCTCCAGAACCAACGAGAATGGGACACTGAGCCCCCCCTCCCTCTCGGTGTACGGGCCCCCCTAGTCCACTGAGGGGGGAGGGGGGCTAGATGTCACTTTTCGGTGGTTTCTAGAGGGGGGCGGGCCTGGAGGAGACGGGTCGGGTCGGGACGGGCGTGGACGGGAGGGGCCTTGCCCCGCCCCGTCCGTGCCCCCCTCTCTGGTCTTCCGTCCTCCTCCCCGCGCTCCCTCTGCGGCTGGTCCTAGCCTGGGCGACATGGCCGGGAGGACATCGAGGTTGAGCGTGTCACCGCGGTTGCGGCTGGTGTGAAAGTCAGGGCTGGGTCGTCTCGGCAGGAGCCCGCTGTTCGTCGGAGCGAGCTCGGAGGTCGCGCGCGAGGCCTGCGGGCGGCGGGTCTGGGTTTTGGGGATGGGGCCTGGGGTCGACCCAGAGCACCGTCCCTTGCTGCTCACTCCGACCGCTCTCACAGGGCCACCTGCCCTCGTCCTAGGGTCTCTCTGAGCCGCAGGGAGGTGCGCGGCCAGTTCTGGATGGTGCTGGCTCAGTCCCCCCCCCACCTTCCTGTCTTTCCTCTCCCTCCCCTCGCACTCCGCAGCCATCAATCTCAGGAGGCATGCCTGCCGCCAGTTCCTCCGCCTCGTCCCCCAGTATCCAGCGCCGCCATGGCTGGGCCCCCTGCCAAGGCGTTTGCGTCCTCAGACGCGTAGGATCTCGGAACGTAATGGCGCGAACGTTCGCCTGAGTCCACGTCGCTGGATTCGCCCCTTGCTTCAGCTGCTAAGCGTGAACGGGGGGGGGTCTTGCCCCACCCCGTCCTCCCCCCCCCCTCTCTGGTCCTCCGTCCTCCTCACCGCGCTCCCTCTGCGGCTTCTCCCCTCTGTCTCCCCGCGGTCCCCCGATGCCTTCTGGCTGGCGCTGCGGAGCAGTTCGCGCATGTGTTCTCCTCGCGGTCGAAGTGTGTTCGTTGCAAATTGCGTTCGAGCGCTGCCAGCAGTCGTGCACCGCTGATCTGTTACAAACGAATCACCATAGCGCGCCCGCGCCCTCTGCGAGCCGCGCTGGTCTGGGCGCCGTCCTCCGTGCAACTACGGAACCGGCCGCGGTGACCTCGGGCGCGGTAGTCTTGCGCTGTGCCGCATGCTCCCGCAGACCGCTTCGGATGCGCTGTTCGGCCAGTTCACGGTGATTCTTCCCCCGTTGAAGCTCCCGGCGCGCGAGCGTCTGGGGCGCGCTCAGTTCCATGCTGCGCGAGGCGGCGTCTGGCCCGTCGTTGGCCACGCGCTCCATCATCTGAGTTCTCGCCAAAGCATCGCGAGCCTCCGCCTGGGAGGGCGCGCAAGTCGCACTCGACTCCACGGCAATGGTTTGCTCCCGCCGCCGAGAGTCACCGACTTAGCCGCGGGCTCGCTGGAACAAGGCAGCGCTCTCATCGGCGGCGCGCGTAGCAACCTCGACAGCCGCGCGTTTGTCAGCCATGGCCTTCTGAATCTCCGCAGTAGCCTCGGATTCCAGGGTCGCATTGCGTGCCCGGGCGGCCTTCGGCTCGTCGGTTAATCCAGGCGCGGCGGCTCGTGGACTACGCCTGGCCCCCTGGACAGCAATCGCAGCTTTCTCGGCGACGGCCCTTTCCACGGCCTGAGCCCGCTTCTCGGCTGCCGTCGCTGCCTCGAGTCGATCGGCCATCCCCTGCAGCTCTGGACGCCATCAACTGTCGCCGCTGCTCGGCTCCGCTGCCCGGATCGCCGCATTCCGACCCAGCTCGGCCTGGATCCTCGCGGCCGCTCTCTGTTGGAGCTCCGCCGCCGGGATTTGTTCCCTCATCTGTGCCATGTCCTTATCGCGTTCTGCCGCCATGGGCGCCCGCTTTCTGTCCTGCGCCCCCCCCGTTCGAGGCGGCGCAGAGCAGGGCAGTTGTGGGCGGGCGCCGGTAAACAGGCGGGGCACAATAGCAGCTGGTTACAGAGCGATCAGCTCTCAGAGCATGCCCCGCACGCAGATTTCTTGAATTGACCGCGCCGCGGCCACCTGGGCAGCGGCACTCAGGGAAATCTGCGTAATTGGGCCACTTGATGAAACATGCCCCGTTTTCGCGGTAGCTCGAGGCGTTTGAGCGAACCGCGCAAGCAGAGGCAGGGGGCAGGGGACGCGCCGGACGGAACTCGCGTCTGGCGGCGCCTCTCCAGCCCCGGCGCCCCTGGCCCTCGGGGAACGCGCCCGTAGGTCCTGGACTGCCCCGCTCGCCCTGACACCGGCGCGCTGGGGAGCGGAGAGATCTGGGGCCATGGGCGCTGCCCCCACGGATGCCCTCCAACCCTGAGTCATCCGCACCGTTCTCTCCATCGATGGGGACCTCGCCGAGAAACTAACTCTGCCCCTCGGTCGCCCAGCTGCGTGCGCACGCAACGACAGCGCGGCAGCAGGCGAAGCGTGCGAGGGAAGCGCGTGGTCTCCCAGGATGGGCCCCGAATCTGACGATATTTCTTCATCGGAGTTGGGCGACTCACCAGGATCACCAGAACCACTGGCCGGGTGACGCCCCCCCGCATCGCGGAGCCGGGAGGCGCAGGCGACGAAAGAGGAGTTGACGCGTAGGCCACCGTCCTCCGACGAGATCTCGATGAGAAATACACCATCACCAACACTGCCCACAGAACACGCGGCAATTGCACGACGCAGGTCACCATCAGGACGCGGATCATCTTCCCGACCTGACACCGACCGCGCCTTCTCATTTGGAATGGGGCCGTCTTCCGGCCCGGGCGCGTCCGGTCGTCCGGGTTCACGGTCGATTTACATTGGCGTTCTGCGAAGAGCGTAAAGCAAGGCCCCGGACACTGCGCAAGGGCTGTAAGGTCCCGGCGAACCGAAGACAACATGGTTGGAATGTCCGGTAAGCAGACTTGCTGAAGGTAGTGCGTATGTATGTCTATGCGCCGTCCGTCTGAAAGGGAGCAAGGCCGCAAGCGCATACTTTGCCTTTGGCAAACAATGAGCTGCGGTCACTGCCGCATTCGTCTTTACCCCTGCCAACCCTTTGCTGAACGGGATGGGCAGGGCGCCTTAAACTAGCGAGGGGAGCGTTAGTAATGACTGGATACCTCCTCCAAATTCAAGCCAGGGAACCCAAAAATGACGATGGTTGCATGTTTTAGGGTGACCCGCTCGGATTAAAAACATGAGATGCGGGAGCCATAAAAGAAGGGGGGGGGCTGCCGCATGAAATTCCTCGCAAACCAATCAAAGGCGAGGTTCCCGCCTAAGACTTCCTCCATAAGCAAATCAGGGGAACCCGAACGTGACAACAGTTACAAGCTTGAGGATGCCCCGCTCGGACGAGAAACGTGAAGTGCGGAACCCATAGGGAGGAGACTCTCGTATGAGACTCCCTCTCAATTCACCCACAGACAAGGCTCACGCCTGAGACTTCCTCAGGATGAGCGTCTCAGGAGCCTAAAAGTGAGGACTGAGGAGTGAATGAGAATGATGACGCAAATGCTGATGATGATGGTGATGATGATGACGCTGATATGACCATGATCTGACGATGATGATGATGATGATGGCGAGGAGGTAGGCCACGATCATGTTCAGGATTCTGATGAGCGTGTGGCGAGTGTGTGTGAATGATGATGGCGATGATGGTGGTGATGAGGGCGAATGAGTGAGTGAGCACGATGGTGATAGTGAGGAAGAGGGGGAGGAGGTGGGTTCCTGTTTCTGCGCGGGGTGTCCAGAGCAAACAAGAAGCACGCTCAGGACGTGGGGAAAATGAACGTAAACTGTCGGAGACCCGCGCAGATTTCTTGGATCGGCGCTGACCCAGTGGCGGCGACTCCAACGCCACCCCTGGCACGCTCCGCGCGCCAGACAAGTCGCAGATTGACATTTGATTGCTCATTCGAGCATGGAAGGGAGAAATGAAGATCGAGGTGTGTGTGTGTGTGTGTGCATTCTTCGCTACTGCTTGGCCTTTTTGTCCGTCACTGCTGGACTCCCCTCGAAAGATCTATTCGGAGCGCGCCCCAGGACACAGGCTGGAGGAATCGACTCCGAGGCCTCCGAGGCCTCCGGGCCCCAGACCTCTGGCGCGGGAGGGGGGGAGCGGAGGGAGGGGCGGAGAGAGAGAGAGAGAGAGAGAGAGAGAGAGAGAGAGAGAGAGAGAGAGAGAGAGAGAGAGAGAGAGAGAGAGGGGCGGGAAGAGGAGAGGGCGCGAGAGGAGGGGGGGCGGAGTAAGCTAGGTGCGCTCGCGCCCGACATCCTGCACCTCCCGCCCATCCCTTCCCATTGCGCTGATTCCTCCTGTCTCTGCCGACGAGCGTCTTAGCGGACGTGGGATCCCCCAAAGGATCCCTATCGTGCTATGCGAAATCAGCAAAGGGGACCTGCGCACATTGCAGAAGGAGGAGGAGGAGGAGGAGGAGGAGGAGGAGGAGGAGGAGGAGGTTGTTTTTTTTCAGCGGTCCCGTGAGGGCAGGAACGAGGGGCCACGGTTGGCCCGGGCCACAGTTGGCCCGCGCGCGGGCCGCGCCCGGGGCGCCTCCGGCGCGCTCACACCTTGGAGGTGGGGGGAGAGGACCGCCGGCAACGACTCCCAGAGGGTGGGGCCCCAGCCGGGGAGGCTGAGGGGGGCCCACGGGAGACCTGCGTCGCCGACGGCGCGGGGCGGGCCCCCATCGCAAGCGGGCAGCAGGGAATGGATAGCCAGCTCCCCCCCCCGTTTTGCCGGCCGGAAACGCCCGACCACCGACAGAACGGGCAGGGGCCAGGCACCCCCAGACCCCACCACCCACCCCAGGGGCCCGCCACGACACGACTCGACGCGACACGACGGGGGGACGAAACGACCGACGCGACACGAACGACACGACACGGACGAACGACACGACGGGGACGAGCCAAGGAGGAGGAGGAGGAGGAGGAGGAGGAGGAGGAGGAGGAGGAGGAGGAGGAGGAGAAGGAGGGGGTAACGGATGAGCAAGATAATGAGCAGGAGGATGAGGATGAGGAAGAAGAAGGACGAGGAGGAACAGCAGCACCAGCAGGAGCAAGAGTACGAGGAGCGGGAGGAGCGGGAGGCCCAGGGGAAGGCGGAGGAGGGGGACGGAGCGGGGCGACGACGACGGGGAAGGACTGGGATCCAGAAGTGTGGCCAACGCTCGGGCGAGAGCGCCATTCTGACTGACGGGGGGCACAGCTTCGATCCGAGAATGAGGCCAGAGATGCAGCGGCAACACAATTTTGAAACACCGAAGACGCTCCGAGACATTGAGATAAGAACAACAAATGGATTACAAGTCATACCCGAAATCCTGTACGCTAGAAGCCAAGCATCCGGGAGAAAACCTGCCCCACTCGGGTTTGATCCGGGGAGAGAGGAAGGAAGTGCTCATATTGAGTATTTGTGGAGGGAGGGAGGGGAGATGGACGGGGGGAGGGAGGGCGAGAGCGGGGGTGGGGCTGGCAGCGGGGCGGGGGAGGGGGGCGGATGCATGAGGGGGACTCAGGAGCGGGGCGGGGCGCTGGAGGCGTGTGGGCGAGGTTCTCACGAGGAGGGAGGGGGCGAGGGAAGAGGGAGAGCGCAGGGCGGCGAAAAGCTGGGAAAGGGGGGCGATCGACTGAGGAATAGATGCCGATACGGCTACCCGTCCCTCGTCGCCACGGGTGGATCGCCTCGAAATCCAGCCCCGCGGAGTCGCGGTATGGGTACCCCAAGCGAGGAGGGGGAAACGAGGAGAGGAAAGGGGGAGTTGGGAAGGGGGAGGGGCAGGTCATGTCAGGATCAGTCAGCATCTTGTCAAAAAACAGATCGGATCGGGGCGTGCGTCGGATCGGGCCGCAACGGCACGGAGCCGAAGTCGGATGGGAGTCGGCCGCGCCATGATGCACAATGACGTCGTGCAGACATCGGGCAACACCGGATCGTTGCACTATCGGAGACGGATCGGATGGAGCCGGGCGCAGCAGGTATCGAACCCAATCTGCCAGATCGAGCAGGGGGGCCTGCAGGTGCGCTCGCGACACATCCGACATCCTACACTCCCACCGGGCCAAATTTCCCGTAAGCTGAACCCTCGTATCAAAGGACGTTGATAGAGGTCGGGCACGTCCCCCTACAGGCGGACTTTGGAGGACAAATGGAGAAGATTCCAAAAATGCCCAACAAATATTCAAACATTGCCAAAACATCGTCCCCTGAGTATTTTTTGACCACTATTGAGTATTCCTGTAGAGGGACAGGCCCGACCTAAACGTGATGCCCCAATAGCCATCGCTGGGTCACCAGACTTCGCGTGTCGCGCCCCGCGGTGCGCGGCTACCCTCGTGCCCTCGCGAGGCCACCCTGGAGACGGGCAGCTGTCCAGCTCAGGCCGAAGCCCGAAGATCTTCGCGCCTCTCGGGGTGACCTGGCCGAACAGGGCGAAAACTAGGGAAGGACTTGGCATCGAAATACATCCCCTCCTCGGGTATCCATCCGCTCTCCTTAAATCCCCCCGCGCTCTCGCACTCCCTCTCTCCCACCGAACTTAGGGAGATCGGCTTTTCATCCTCAGTCACTGTCGGACGGTCCCGCGGGCCCGACAACGGCATCAGGACGCCGAACATTCGAAAAATCCTGAAGGGGGAGTTCTTCTAGAGGCATTCAGAGGATCCTGGAGATCTCAGGAAGCCTCTCTTATCCGCCACCGTGCCTCGAGGCCCTAAGCAGAGCGTCCTCAGGTCCTCAAGAGTTCCCAATCTAGGGTATTGAATATGGTTCATAGTATTCAAGGGGCCCAGAGCCCGAAGTCCCGCCTGGGGTTGCTCGCGTGACTCTGAGAGTTTCTCGGTTGACTTTTCGGGCTTCCGGCATTGCTTTTCCTGACGCAAGAGGGCGCCAAAACGGGCCTAGAGTCCCAAGAGACACTGAGGTACCCACGACGGTCCAAGAGGGTCCCCCAAGAACGCTCCGAGACGCCCACGACGGACTCGAGACGGCCCAAGAGGCCCACAAAGACGCCACGAGGACTCCAAGAGGATCCCAAGAGAGCGAACGTGTTTGAATGATGTTTCGTATTTTCGACTTGCAGGGCTTCATTGTCCCGAAACGGCTTCAGAGGCCCACAAAATTTCCCCAAGACGGCCCCGGAGGCCCCGAAGATCGTCCCAAGACGACTCAAGAGGGTGATCAGGCGACAAGAGGCCCCCAGGACGACCCAAGAAGCCCCCCAGAGGGGCACAGCAGGAGGACAGCGAAGCCAACATGCCCCCAAGAGCCCCTCAGAAACGCTCAAATGTTCTCCAACAGGCCTCCCAGAGAGGCCCCACAGAGGCCCCCTCAAGCGGACTCCGAGCGGCCAACGATCCCAAGAGATCCCGACAGGAGCCTTGTCCTGTCTCACAGTGGCCCCGATCGGCGCAGCGGCAGGCGGGCGCGCCCCGCACGTATGTGCCCATGTGCTCAGCGAGCAGCTTCTGCGCGAGCTGCGGGTTGCCGAGGGACTTCTCAAACTGCTCGTACCTGGGAAGACGTCAACCCGCACCACCTACGCCGGTCCTGTCGGACGTCAGCAGCAACACAGACGCACGCATTCCGAGGTCCGCGCAGATTTCTTGGAACGGAAGTGGGCCCCCTCCCTGGCGCGGGGACCGCGCCAGGGGCGGCGCCCGAGGCGCCTCAGGGAGCTCAGCGCCGACCCAAGATGTCCGCGCGGAACTCTGGCAATTTCTGTGCGTGCCGACGCTTCGAGATTGGCGCTGGCTTCTGGCAAACCGTGGGTCGATCGACCCTGAACGATCGCGGCGTTCCGATAGCGCGGATGGCTCGAAGTCCACCGCCTCCAGGCCGCTGACGGCGATCAACCTTGAACGCCCGCGATGGGGTGGCCGCCGCGCCAACGCGGCGCGAACCTACCCGCCGGTGGCCGAACTTTGCGGGGAGCGACGCGCGGTTGTCTTCGCGCCCTCGCGCGGCCGCCCTGGCCGCGACGCGGGAAGCGCGGATGTCTTCGCGCCCCCGCCGGTGACCAAGATTGGGCTCGTCTCGTCCTGGGCCTGCCAAGACCCTGGAGACACGCGCGGCTGGATCCACATGCGGAGCACACGCGGGGCGCGCGCCGGACTCGCCACCGTGGCCCCTGGCACGTTGGGGCGCGGTGTGCTGCCAGGTGCTGACTGGTAAAGTGCATGTCAGTCTTCTAAGGGCCCCCCTCCCGCCCCCCCCCCCCGCGCGCTCTGGCGGCCCGACGTTTCCCTGAGGCTCTCCAAGGCTGCCCCCGGCTGCCAGCGCAGCCGAAGAAGACCACCACGGCCGCCGAGATGGCCCAACGGGGCCGCCGAGAGGCACCCAACAGCCCACAAAAAACACCCCTAACAGGCGCCCAAGGGGTCCCAAGAGGCTCAGGCTCTCGAGGAAGGCCGGCATCACTCAAAAACCACATGCAGGCACACATGGCGTTTCCTGGGCCGCTCGGCTCCAGATGGTCGCAGGGAGGGCCTCGGACCACAGAGAGGCCCAAGGAGCCCAAGGAGGGCCCCCGGAAGCCCCCCCCCCAAGCGGCCCAAGACAGCCCCAGGAGTGCCCCGAGACGGCCCAAGACGGGCCCAGGACAGCCAGGAGGTCACGAAGGTAGCCCCAGAGGGCCCCAAGAGAACCCCAAGACAGCCGCAAGATACTCCCCAGACGGTCGGAGGGAACACGACGGGCCAAGAGAGCGTTGAGACGCCCCAGAGGACCAAGACAGACCCGAGACGGCCCAGGCAGCCCCCGTGAGAGCCCCTCGGGGAATAGAGACGAGAGATGTCCCAAGTTTCAGCCTTCTGCGCGATACTGGCAACACCGCCACGCACACAGAGTGCTGCGCTGGCAAGATGTAAGAACAAGGAAGGGTGAGACCCTCACCATCACGAGGAGCTGGGGGAAGATACTCACGGTGAGGTGGTCACCCTTTTTAGCGGCGTCCCGCAGGAAATATCTCAAGTCTTCAGCTCGGGAGGCACCGTAGACCTCCACTAGGAAAGAAACTGATCATATATTATCTTGAGGAGGTCCGCGCGGATTTCTTGGAACGGCGATGCATCCGGCCCTCGGCGCGCGACGCGAGCAAGTGGCGGCGCTGGAGGCGCCGCCGGGGGGGGCGGGGGGCAACTCCGATCCAAGAAATCCACGTGGACCTCCGAAAATGAATGGTGATGCAACTTGCGTTTCTTCGATCGTCGCTAGAGGTGGCTCGCTGGTGGTGCCGCCTCTCCCCCTTCCAACCGCGGCGGGGCCTGCCGCAAGCAGCCGGATGCGCGTGCGATGGGCCGCCGTGCACGGCCACACGCTGCCCGAGCGTTTGAGTGTCGTTTAACCGATCCCCATCCCCAGCGGCGTGGCCTGGGCCCCACTGACCGATTTACCCCCCTAGATGGGGGTATAGGCCGTTCCGTGCGGGTTTCGAGGGGTGTATCCCCGACTGGGGTGGTAATTTGGTGGGGGTCTCGAAGGGGATGGGGGTCGGATAAAGCATACTGAGATGGGCCGCCGTGCACGGCCAGACGCTGCCCCAGCGCCGAAAAGACACGCGGTGCAACCGGCACTCTTTGAACCACGTGCGCTCGGCCTCCCGGCAGCGTCGGTGCACACGCCCTCCGCGGCCTGGCCTGGGAGGCTCCCGCGGAGCTCTCCAGACATACATCTGGGGGCCACCCAAGGCCCAAACGCCCAAGCACCTCCCTCTGCTCCTCCCTCTGTTCCTCATCCTCCTCCTCCTCCTCCTCCTCCTCCTCCTCCTCCTCCTCCTCCTCCTCCTCCTCCTCCTCCTCTAGTTCCTCCTCCTCCTCCTCCTCCTCCTCCTCCTCCTCCTCCTCCTCCTCCTCCTCCTCCTCCCAGTGGAGATGGATCGTGTTTCTCATTCGAGGCCATCAAGCTGAAAAAACTTGTTCCTCCCGCTGCAGCAGGTTACCTCGGTCGAGATGGAGGAGGAGCAGCAGCAGCAGCAGCTGCAGCAGCTGCACCGATCCTGGGCCCAGAGCAGGCCTGGCTGGGCTCCGTGCCAGTGGATTGTTGGTGACCCCCGGGCACCCAATCCACAGCTTGTCCAGCACGGAGTGCGCTGGCGAGCGCGGGGCGGAGGGGAAGGAGAGGGAGGCGGACGACTAGAAGGACGAGCAAGCGGAGGGCTCGGGGGAGGAAGAGACGAAGGACGGGGAGGAGAGCAGTGAAGAAGAAAGAGATAAAGAGAGAGAGAGAGAGAGAGACAACAAAAAATAGTGGTAGGGAAAGAGAGGACGATTTGGTGTGAGAGAGGGGGGTTGTGGAAGAGGGAGAGAGAGAGAGAGAGAGTGCGTGTGTGCGTGTGAGAGAGAGAGATAGAGAAACAAAAAAAAAAAAAAAAAAAATGCTAACGGAGTTCCCCACATAAAGAGATTAACGGTTTCGTGGGACCCATTTTCTTGATGCCCTCCTCGCTTTGGCGGGGCCCCGCTGGAAGGGGGGAGGGCTACGAAACCTGGCGAAGAGTAATGCTTTCCGCGACCCTCCTCGCTCAGGCGGGGCCTCCCTGGAGGGGTGGGAGGGGCACGAAACCATGTAAATAGTATGGTTTTCCGATACCCTCCTCGCTCAGGCGGGGCCTCCCTGCAGGGGTGGGAGGGGCACGAAACCATGTAAATAGTATGGTTTTCGGATACCCTCCTCGCTCAGGCGGGGCCTCCCTGGAGGTGTGGGAGGGGCACGAAACCATGTAAATAGTAAAACCTCGCTCACCCTCGCTGGGCCTCCCGGGCACGAAACCCTACCCTCCTCGCTCAGGCGGGGCCTCCCTGGAGGGGTGGGAGGGGCACGAAACCATGTAAATAGTATGGTTTTCGGATACCCTCCTCGCTCAGGCGGGGCCTCCCTGGAGGGGTGGGAGGGGCACGAAACCATGTAAATAGTATGGTTTTCGGATACCCTCCTCGCTCAGGCGGGGCCTCCCTGGAGGGGTGGGAGGGGCACGAAACCATGTAAATAGTATGGTTTTCGATACCCTCCTCGCTCAGGCGGGGCCTCCCTGGAGGGGTGGGAGGGGCACGAAACCATGTAAATAGTATGGTTTTCCGATACCCTCCTCGCTCAGGCGGGGCCTCCCTGGAG